TCCCCTTCCCCTCCCCTCCCTTACCTCACCCCGCCCCTCCCAAGTTCCCTCCTTCCTTCCTTCCCCTGAAATCCGCTCCCGGAAACTCCCGCCTTTCTGGCCGCGCCCATCCGGAGCTCCCTCCCCATCCAGGAGGCGACCTCGGATGCTCCCTCTTTTCTGGCCTTGCCCTTGCCCTACCTCCCCGTGATTCCGTTCTCCTCCTTGAGCCCTTGACTTTTTATAAGGAGTGACCTGGAAGACCTCAGAGAAGGTGACTTTGTGTGTGTGTGTGTGTGTGTGTGTGTGTGGTAAAACACACATAATATTCACCACGTTACATGTTTAAGGTACAGTTCAGTGGTATGAAGTACATTCATGTCGCGCAACCATCACTTCATCCATATGCTGAACCCTTCCTCCACAGCTGACACTGTACCCTTTAGATAGCTCGCCACTCTCCCCTCCCCCCGCCCCTGGCAACCACTGTTATATTTTCTGTCTCTGTTATGATTTTGACTACTCTAGGTACCTTATGTAAGTGAAATCGTGCAGTGTGTGTGTGTGTGTGTGTGTGTGTGTGTGTGTGACTGGCCTGTTTCACTTAGCATAATGCCTGTAAGTTTCATCCATGTTGTAGTATGTCAGAATTGCGAGAAGGTGACTTTTGAGTTAATTCCTGAAGGAAGGGAAGGGGTAAGAGGAACAAATGTAAAGGCCCTGAGGCAGGAATGGGGCTGGTGTATTGGAGCAAAAGTCCAGTGCAGCTGGAATAGGATAGGGAGGAGGGGGAATAGTAGCCATAAGGCAAACTTTGGCTTTTACTCTGAACAAGATAGGAAGCCACTGGAGGTCACCCTTAAGCTGAAGGGTGACCGGATCAGACTCCACATTTCTTTTGAACCTCGCTGGCTGCTAAGTTGATAATAGGATGGAGGGTAGCAAGGGCAGAATGGGGAGACCAGTGAAGAGGCTGTTGCTTCCAACATTGTCTGGAGGACTAGGGAAGGCTTCCCAGGAGAAGCTGAGACCAGAAGTTTGAGTAGGAATTGACAAGGTGAGGGGTACCTTTATGTGTCGGAGATTGGGAGTGAAGTATTCCAGGTGGAGGACACGGCTTATACAAAGGTGTGGAGGTGAGAGCAAGTGTAGTTGATTGGCAATTGTTAGTACAGTTGGCCCTTTCTTTAAAAAAAGTTTTTGGCCACACTGCAGAGCCTGCAGTTTATTAGTTCCCCTGACCAGGGATCTAACCCGCATCCCCTGCAGTGGGAGTGTGGAGTCTTAACCATTGGACTGCCAGGGAAGTCCCAGTTGACCCTTGAATAACACGGGTTTGAACTTACATGCGGGTCCACTCATATGCAGGGTTTTTTTTTCAGTAGATACATACTACAGTAGTACATCATTCGTGGTGCGTTGAATCGGAACTGCAGGTGTGGAGAGCCGACTCTAAAGTTATATGCAGATTTTACAGGGATTTCCAACTGCACAGGGGTTGGCCCCCTAACCCTACCACCCCCCACCACGTTGTTCAAGGGTCAGCTCATTAAACCCCTAGATTGGGAGCTTCCTGGGGAAGAGATGTATTTTCATTTCCATAGGGCAGGGCCTCTACAGGCACTCTGAAGACCTGCTGATCCCACCCTCTCCCCCTGTCACTGTGAAGTAAGAGTGCCACCTGGGTTAGACTAACCAGGGCTCTGGGTCTCACCAACACTCACATCATCAGTGAGCTTGCTTTACTGATTTTCCTCTCTCTCCTATATATTTTCATTCTGTCCCTTTTAAGGGAGATCATCAGGTCTCTCTCATCTTAAAAAAAAAACAAACCAAAAAGCCCTCCCTCTATCCTGCTTACTTCTACAACTATTTTTGTATAATTCTCCTACCCTTCACAGCCAAACTTATAAAAATAAGGATTTTTAAAAATTATAGTTGATTTACAATATTGTGCTAGTTTAATGTGTACAGCAAAGTGATTCAATTATATATATTTTTTTCTTCAGATTATTTTCCTTCATAGGTTACTACAAGATATTGAATATAGTTCCCTGTGCTATCCAGTAAATTCTTGTTGCTTATTTATTTTATGTATAGTAGTTTGTATCTGTTAATCCCACACTCCTAATTTATTCTCCTCCCGACCCCCGTCCCTTTCCCCTTTGATAACCATAAGTTTGTCTT